GTTACATCTGTAAACAGATGGCAAATATGAAATAATTCTCTAAGATTGAGTAGTCTTCCAACTAAATGAGAAAGGGGAGGCAAATGTGTTATCTTTAATATAAAATATGATTGTATTACAGTACATTAAAGTCTAAATCAGGTAAGTTTCTCATTTTTGCACATGATGACTGGGTAAAGTATTTATTATACAGGGTTTGATTTTAATCATGATGAACTAATGTCTTCTACTGGTTTTTTGTGTTGGAATTACTGATGTCCAAACAATCAGTTATGTTAGAAATGTCAGAATGAAATCTGGCTTTTGAAAACTGAAGGTAGATTGGAAATGTTCTGCATATATTAAGTTTAGTTTCATGTGAAGCAAATGCTGCTGGTTGTAATATCCAGCTGATGTTGAAGCAACTGTCTGTGTCTTCCCTAGCAGTTAAAATAAGCATGCTAAAAAATAGTGGTTTATTATCTCAGGTATGCAGCAGTGTAAAAAGATGTTGTCTACATATAAGAGATGTCTCTCTTCTTGTATATTTCTTTTTGTTGTTGTTTTGGAAGGTATTTATCAAAAGTATTTTTATTTAAGTTTCAGAATTACTTTGTCAATCAATAAGGAAATCCTTATGCCTAAGACAAACTAGTGATTTCATGGATGCAAAGTTTAGAAGTTCTTTTTATATAGTTCAGCAGCTGAATTCTCCTTTAGATTCTAATGAAATGAGAGAAGAATAAAATTGTTTTATTATTGCAAGGGTTCCATTTGTCATCTTTATAGTATTGTTTATATGTTTTTGTTCCTTGATTCATAACGTAGTGTACGTGAGGCAGCTCCTGATGATGTAGGTCACAGACCTTTCGCCCCCCCCCAAAAAAAGAAAACAACACAACACAACAAACAAAAAACAAACACTTTTAAATATTGGGTTGGATGTGTGTGTTTTCTGGGGAAAGGTCAAGAAATTAATTGTTCTAAGCTCAAAATATTTCTGTAGTCTGATACACTACTGATATAGTTCATCAGTGAAGATGAAAAGAAATGAGAGCAAAATGTGATTTGAGATGTAACTGAGGAATTTGAGGAATTTAGACTTTCTGGGTATTCAACAGTGCCTTTCATTCAAAGACGATGTAGCAACATAGCAAGGGGGTTGTTCTAGTGTAAAAGGATCATTTGGGACAATACCTGGATTTTTAGCAGCCTGTAGGTAAGCGGGCTTGCAACACCCTTGCAGCACAAAATTGAAAGAGGGCCTTCAGCATGTAAATGTGTAGTGACCTAGTCCTGCTCTGCCAGTCACTATAAACAACTGCTTGAGGAAACTGAAGAGGCATCAGCTGTGGTATTTCAGTGTGCATACTACAACCCATTTCAGTTTTGCTTCCTGGAGACCTGTCCCTGTGAAAATCAGTAATGCTAAGGGATTGTAGACTGATAAACAGTTGGATGTTGAGGCTTGCTGCAGCTTTTTTTTTTAATTAACAACTTTATTGGTTAAAATTGTTTATCCCAAAAGATTTAAGAGAACGAATTTGCAATATCTGAGGCTTTCCTGTAAATTGGAAACTTGCAAATCAGGGTTAGAGATCTGCATTGGACAACTTTGGTTTTAGACATTTCCTGCTGACTTAGTTTATGCACTGTATGAAACCTCAATAAAAACTGGCAGCAGCGCCATCTGTGTGGGAGCAGAGCAGTAAGAGGCAACAGGCACAGGCTGCAGTAGAACAACCCGTTTGGGAGAGGAGGACAGAGCGGGCAGGGCATTCACAACGGGGTTACCAAGCAGTGGTGGAATTGCCACCTTTGGAGATTTTCAGAACTTGACAAGACATGCCTGAGCACCTGGTAGCCCTACTGAGGACTGGGACCTCCAGAAGGTCCCTGCTAACCTGATTCAGTTGGGGTGAAACCACAGACGAAGCATCTTTTGTGTGAGAAGTCAACTTGTTTTGAGTTGCACTGCAATGCTGCCATCAACATAATATATTCATATAATTACTAGGTGGATAGATGATGGTAGAGCGGTAGATGTGGTTTATCTTGATTTCAGTAAAGCATTTGACACCGTCTCCCACAGCATCCTTGTAGAAAAGTTGATCAGGTATGGGTTTGGTGATCAGGAAGTGAGGTGGATTAGGAACTGGTTGAAAGGAAGGAGTCAGAGAGTTGTAGTCAATGGGGCAGAATCCGGTTGGAGGTGTGTGACTAGTGGAGTCCCACAGGGGTCGGTACCGGGACCGGTGTTGTTCAACATCTTCATCAACGACCTGGATGAGGGTATAGAATGTACCCTCAGCAAGTTTGCTGATGACACTAAGCTGGGAGGAGTGGCTGACACACCAGAAGGCTGTGCTGCCATTCAGAGAGACTTAGATAGGTTGGAGAGTTGGGCGGGGAGAAACATGATGAAATTCAACAAGGGGAAGTGCAGAGTTTTACATTTGGGGAAGAACAACACCATGTCCCAGTACAGGTTGGGGGCTGAACTGCTGGAGAGTAGTGTAGGTGAAAGAGACCTGGGGGTCCTGGTAGACAGGAGGATGACCATGAGCCAGGAATGTGCCCTTGTGGCCAAGAAGACCAATGGCATCCTGGGGTGCATTAAGAAGGGTGTGATTAGTAGGTCAAGAGAGGTTCTCCTCCCCCTCTATTCTGCATTGGTGAGGCTGCATCTGGAGTATTGTGTCCAGTTCTGGGCCCCTCAGTTCAAGAAGGACAGGGAACTGCTCGAGAGAGTCCAGCGCAGAGCTACGAAGATGATTAAGGGAGTGGAACATCTCCCTTATGAGGAAAGGCTGAGGGAGCTGGGTCTCTTTAGCTTGGAGAAAAGGAGACTGAGGGGTGACCTCATCAATGTTTACAAATATGTAAGGGGTGAGTGTCAGGGGGACGGAGTTAGGCTTTTCTCGGTGATGACCAGTGATAGGACAAGGGGTAATGGGTGTAAATTGGAGCATAGGAAGTTCAAGGTGAATATCCGAAAAAATTTTTTTACTGTGAGAGTGACAGAGCACTGGAACAGACTGCCCAGGGAGGTTGTGGAGTCTCCCTCACTGGAGACATTCAAAAACCACCTGGATGAGTTCCTGTGTGATGTACTCTAGGTGACCCTGCTCTGGCAGGGGGGTTGGACTAGATGATCTCTCGAGGTCCCTTCCAGCCCCTAAGATTCTATGATTCTATGATTCTATGATAATATAATTTAATTTATGTTCCATATAACTCTTGCATGTTCTTAATTGAATCTGGACAATAAAACTTCATTTATGTACATTCCTGAAACAAAAATAAAGAAATGGACATGGAACTAATTTAGCAGTGTGTTGTAGAAGTGATGGAAGCTAAATGAGTTTAGTTTAAAGCAAGGTATTGAGTTATGTCACAGGGAGAAGAGTTAGTCAAAGCTAACATGCAGCATGATAAATGTTAAACCTGTAGTACAAGAAGGCATTTCTATTAATTTCTTCTGGATTTAATGGCATGAATACAGCTAATGTGGTTTAATCTCTTTGAAAAGTTACTCCAAAGGATAACTCATAGCTAATAAATTGTGGATAAAATGCTGTGAACATGAGCAGATAAGCAGCTAAATTTTCACTTAAATTCTGCTGTGAAGAGGCTTGCTTGCTTAATAATGTACTTAATTTGTATGGGTGAGTGGGAGTTTGAGGAGAGTTTAATGTCAGGAAATCAAATGAGAGCTGAGTAAATTATGCTTCTAAAAGCTAAGAACAAAGGAAAAAAAATCTTGCATAACAGTAAGTTGATGTGTCTTCATTTAATGTGAAAGCCCCAGTTGGTAACTGTGGAAAATAATGGAAAATATACACTCAACCATCACAATTTTTCTACTGAGGTATATATCAATCAGTACTTGCTTAGATTTCTTATTTTTAAGTTGGCACTTTCAGCAACGTGATTTTGAGCTGAGGCCATTCTTTGGTGGTCATGATAACTTTTTGTCACCTTGATGCTTTTTCAAAGTATCAAGTAACATTTTAAATATTTGAGTATGGCTGAGGAAACAAAAGCTGCCTTTTAATACCCTTTAAATACAATGTGTGTATATTCAGCATACCTGAATTTTTAAATTTGAGGGTATGGGCAGCAGTAGTGGTTCTTCAGAAAAATATCTAAAAATAAGCAATTTAACAATATTAAGTAATTTCTTTGGTTTTATGGATCTTCATGAATTGTTAATATTTCATATTGTTTGAGTTTCTGAGAATCCAGGGATAAACTGTCCATATTGATTTATTGAAAGGTATTTACTAGATAGGGTTCTGCAAGCTATAAAATGCCCGTGCCAGTTCTCACTGTAGCTTAGATATCACATTAATGGCAGAAAGGAAAGAAATAATAAATTGGGAGTTTTATTCTGCTCTGTATTTTACAATAAGTAGGCAGTATTTAGTAACATTAATTTGAAAAAAATCATGGCAAAAAAGCTCCCTTGCTGGAGAGATTAAAGATTAACTGGTTCTAATATAGTTCTTTGGTGGTATGAAGTTCTGAATGAATACAAAAATTTATTTTTGATCCAAAAGGAAATTATGCAGTGCTTCAAAACCTTAGATGCTGTTTGTATGTTATTATATATTAATTCAGCATTCTTTAATATAAGCTACTGAAACAACAATGTTTGCTGTTAAGTGGGCTGTGTCAGTTTTCAGAAGGTAAGGCTCAGGAGGTTCTGGACATCCATACTGGGAGTTAACACTCATTTTTCTTTCAAAGTGAGAGAGAAACTGCCCTGCTTCTCAGAACCAAATGACTGTACATAATTGCTTAACAGTTTTTTGCCAACCTGTAATATTAATAGAAAACCAGTAGATAATGTCTGTCTAATTTTAAAGTTGAATTTTGTGTGCAAAGGAACTGAACAAAACCACTGAACAAACAACAAATCAACGCGTCTATGCTGTTGTTATTTATTTATTTATTTTATCAGCTACTGTGTGATTAAGAGGCTGTTTGCTCTCCCTGTCTCCAGATCACTCAGCACAATGGATCGCCTGGGGACAGCGGATGCTGAGGATGACCCTGGATCACTGACCAGACTTGCTCCAAGCCCTCACAGCGAAGCAGTTGCCCATGAGTTTAAGGAACTCTCCCTGCAGCCCAATCAATACTTGCCTCCTCTCAATGAACGGAAGAACGGTGAGTGCAAAGTGACTGCTCTCCTCATCTCTACATTGCTCACGTTTTCTGTGGGAGTAATTGTTGGATTTCTTCAAATAACATCAATGGACTCTGCACTTGCTCTTCCCAAACCATGGCATGTAGAGTTGAAGTGCTACAGTGTTTGTATGAAATCCGTCCTGATCAGCTTCACCTGTCAGGACAGCCTGGAATTCTGACTTCAGAACCCCAACTGGAATACTTCATTGAGGCATATAGAATGGAGTTGTTTATATTTTTAAATAGTTTTTAAACCACAGCTAGTGTATAATAGAAATATTAATTACATATTTTTGAGAGTTGAGGTAATTATCAAGGACAGAGCTTTTTCTGCAAAAATAATACAGAATTGTATTGTTTGGTAAGAAGGTACACGTTGCATTCCAGAAAGTTTTATACTCTGTGGAGTTTAAGGTTGAGCAACGAAAGAAAAATAAGATTTACATTTTGGGAACCTTTCCAATATCTTTCCTCGTTGTTGATGTTCCATGGCAACTTAGGAAGAAAGTTTTTCCACTGTTATAGTAAGCATCGGGAATAATTAGGTCTGAAGCCAAATGTATGCTCATTTTTATTGAGGAAAAGGCAGGAACCTATGGTGGTTTTTTTTGGTGATATTTTTTATTTTCTCATACTAATATCTCCTCATAATGAAGATTCGTTTTCCAGTGTTTGTAGTAAAAAGTGGGAGTGTTGCAATGTAAACAAAGTATTTGGTTTTCAATGCATTTTTAAAAATCAGTTTAGGTATTAATTCAGTTGTAATAGTGTAAGTGTTATTAAATAAGAAGAAAACTATCTGATTATCTCAGCTTTAAAGCTGTAGTAATGTATTAAAAGTATTTTAAACTAAGGGACCTGAAACTAATGTATTGGTTTTTTTGGCTCTACATCCAAAAGAACTATTTTTTGTTAGGCAGAAAAAGAAATTGCGAGACATTAGTTTTTGTTGGCTACTATTTGATATTAAAATGACAATAGTTAAGTCTATACCCGCAGCTTGTTTTAAGATATCTTACAATGTTTTAGCTTTTTATCAAGTAAGTAACAGAAATGTTTATTTAAGGAAAGCTGTTTTTTGTAGATTTATGAGGAAAGTCAGAAGAAAATTTGTAAAAGTTAATATGAATCCATTAAGTTCAAATTTTAAAGTCATTTTAATACTTGGCTTTTTTCCTGCTTTTTGCCAAAACTGGATTTCTTCAAGGATATTGTCACTTTTTTATAAAGTCTGGAAGCATAAGAGATTTTAGTACACAGAAATACAATAGCACTTAATAAAAGAAAAATCTGAAATGTTTTAAGGTTATTTCATTGAATATTTTTATGTAGGAAGTGTATTTTTATGCAGTAAGCATTATGCTTACTGTAAGCTTTGCTAGTGATCCTTTAAACCTTTTGTTTACTTGAATGAGTTTTTTGGCAATAGGCCAGTAGAAGGCTGAATTATTCTGATGTTGTTCTGCACAGTGTTGTTAAGCTGGCTTCCACAAGTTAGTATAGAAACTGCACTTCAGGCTTTTCCAATGATACCAGAAGTATGGGATGCTTATGCTTAGGGTTGTTTTTGCTTCACATGGAGGTACTCACAGCAGGGAAACCTCCAGTGAAATTGCTGCACATGCCTGGTGGGCCAACAGTCATTTGAGAAAGTACTACTACTACTACCTCATTGCCCTTCTTTTTTTTTTTTTTTTAACTTTTTCTCTGCCCAGTCTGTTCCCAGAGATCACAATGATACAGCAAAGCTAGAATAGGAGTTCAGATGAGCATAGCTCGTTAGTTTTTGGTGCAAAATCTCATGGTTTGGAGTAAGCTTTATTGGAGCTCTTGTCCCTTGACAAAGGATCACACATGCTCTGCCAATTCTGTGAAAAGGTAACTCTCAGTTGGGGATTGGTAACAAATGGATGGTAGTAGCATCTAAAGCTTTCCAGCCATTTGCTACACACAGGTGTCTAATATTGATTAAAGACAACCAGATAATTTATTTGCAGAGCAAGACACGAGGGGGAGAGAGAACAACAGCAACATATTCTCATCCTCTCAAATGTCAATTTTTTTTAGACTACTGTCTTCCATCATAAAAAGTCTGTGAAACACAAATATTAACCAATTAATGTTTCGTGTTTTAATAGTGGGCAAGTAACGGGAGTTTTCAAGCTAGTTTGCTAGATAAAGGTTTTGTTGCAGGGCTGAAGTACTTCAACTGAACTATTTTTAAAGCAAACACTTTTAACTATTTGGGGTTATAACACCAAACTGTTTATAGAAGGTAAGCTTGTGTATGTATTTGAGTATAATAACAATCATCTTTCTAGAATGTTTTATATTGCTCTTCTGGACTATTGCAATTTTAGTATTTCCCTTTTGAGCTGTTTTCAAATGAGCTGCTATGGGCAATACTGGATTACTAATTTCAGTTTTAATTTCAGTTTCTCATTAGTCTGTATTTTTCTGGATAATTAAGCAATACATACAATGCATTGATCTTGTAAACTTGTGCCCTGTTCATTGCAGTGTATTATCATGCCAGTTCTCTAGAGTCCAACTCTTGTTCTATTTGCCAAAAAGCAGCAAAAGTTGCCTTTTCATTGCTTCTGCTTTTCGTACTTGCTTCCTACTGAGTGGACACTGAAGACATGCCTGTGACTCTGGCAGCCTCCTGCCAACTGCTGGTGTATAGTTTGTGTCTATCACTTGAGCAGTTGGGCTCTTCACATAAATAGAGGTTGGGAAACAGAAGGCCATGGCCTTAAGCTCTTGGTTTGCATTCCTGTCTGAAGGGATGTCAGATTGTATACACGGTATTTGCTTTCTCAGTGAAGCTGCTTTGTTCTTAGGACAGACAGCGACTGGGGAAGGAGAAGGGTGACACAGATGAGGCTCTTTAGGAGCAGGAGTAAGAAAATTCATGACTAGTTGTTTAGCTGGACTGCAGTGGAGGAAGAATGACAGAGTAGCAAGCAGTGTGGCACAGCTAAAGTACTACTCAGAGCAATATACAACCCACACACTGTACCAGTTTCACAAGTTTCTGTCTGAGAGCCAGGAGGTGGCAAGGGAGAGAAGGATAGGCTGTCTGCTGCTGACAGCAGGAGGGTGGATGGGAGTGATGCTGCTTGCAGCCTTCCAACCGGCTGTTTCAGAGCCAAAGGGTAGGAAGGGATTGCAAATGCAAAAAAAAGGAAGCACTGCATGAGCAAAGCTTTTTGCATATTGAATTAGTACTTTCTCAGAACTGGTGAGCATGCGGCTTCAGCTGGTAGAGGGAGGTGTGAAGGTCTGGGTGTCAGGAGCTACACAGCCATAGTTGTTTCAAGGTAAAATGAAAAGGTCCTCACTTGTGTGTTTTACAGCAATCTCTCTTGGCTTTGCAGTGGTTTCCTTGATTACCCCACTGTGCCAGAATCTCCTTGTGACAGTGGCTACTAGCTTCTGAAAAGGAGACATGGAAGTTACTCTGGTGCAGTCATCATCCACAGATGAGAGCCTAGTTAAGGTCTTGTATGCTGGGTAGAGAATTGGCTGGGTCCTGTATGGACTGTCCTTTAGTACTTTGTAGTGTAGTTTCAGCTCCTTGTCTTGGCTATGAATAATTTCAGATGGTGAGTGTGCCCATTCTCTCTCCTATGCATAGTTTGGAGAAAGTTTTTTCCAGCTAATGGAAGCTAATGGGTGTCTGCTTCTCTAATCTCAGAACCAGAACAGATACAGGATTGCATTTTGGTGCTGTTGGGGTTGTATGTCTTGTACTGGAGGAGGGTTGAAAAGGTTGTGGTGTGCCTACCATGGCTTTTTGCTGGATCTCACTCTTTAGCAGCGAGCAGCTATACTCTACAGAAGAACTGAAATACTTGAGAAAGAAGCTAAGAGTCTTGGATGTTTTTGTCAGGAAAAATCCTTGGGATAGTGAAATCTTAAAGTAAAAGCAAGACTGGAAAAATCTCTACTAGAAGAAATTAGCCCAAAGGATCGAGTTCCTCTGGCTGCATGAGAACAATGACATTCAGGGGCAAAGACCTTGAGGCACTGAGGGTTAGCTGAGAATGACAGCTTTCTTTGGGGCCTCTAGAGCTTCTGGAGAACTGTAGTGAGCCAAGGCAAAGATGCAACACACACACACCTCAAACCAACCAATCAACCAACAAAACAAAACAGAAACCAAAATGAAAACAAACACTCTTTAGCTGGTGTATATTGAACCCTTCTGAGTTCAGCCAGCTGGGAGACCGAAGGTTCTCAGAATCCCTGTATGAAATCAACATCACACATAACCTAATGATATTACTTAAATAAATGTGGTGAACCAGAGGAACCTTTCTGGCATCTAAAAGAGTCAAGAAGTATATTCATTTGCCTGTTATCGCTTATCTTCCACTCCCTCATTATGTAGCACTGGAAACATGCATTCTTGGCATAGTTTTATGGCTTCTGGACAAATTCTTAATCCTCTGTGCAGTTAATAGATTTGAAGCTGCAAATTTGATACTAAGGAATCAGGTGAAATTTGGAACATTCGCTTTCTATTTGGGTACAACAGGTTTTTTCCACTCTATGCCATTAGGCATATTTTTTCCTCTCCTAATAGTACATAGATAGGTTACTGTGCTTAAAAGTTAATTTCTTGAGAGGGATGGGAGAGACAAAGTGGAGAAAAGATGGCTAGTTGGAAGACTAGAGAACAACAAATGGAAAACATAGTTCTGATTAAATTAATGGATTGGCTTAGAAGATAATTGGAAATGTCAACTTAAATTCAGCAATTTCATATTTATTAAGCTGAAAGCAATGAGATCTGGAAGAGAGCATATAGATATTCTGATTAACAACAGCACCCCCACAACAACAAAAAAAACCCAATACCAAAAAAAGATCCCAAAGCAAGTATATTTTACAAGGCCTATCTAGATATAGTAGTAGTATATAATCTATGTAAGTTTACGATAGAAGTGTGTGTTTGCATGTATATATTAGTA